CTCTTTAGAAAAGGTGAAAATGGTCAGTTGTTCCATTCTAACCTCTTGACATTGTTGATTTTATACTCATGGCATAGCGGCGTCTCTCCGTCTGTGTATGTCACCAATTCAAGACTGGCCACGTAAATATGTGTCTAAAGGTTAGATATCCTCTGAAGAGGAACAACTCATCCACAATGGAGAGACTTCCCATCTCACCGCCGTTGTCAGGACAACCCGAGCGGTATCCGTGCCCATAATAAGTTTCAGTTCAAAGCCGGTGACTTACCTCTTTACAACACTCTCATGTCCCTTCCTTCCTTCTCTTTGACTGCTCATTCTGAGACCTAAGGCTTGAGCCCTTGTCCAAATATGCTTTTGACAAAAGTGTTGGTTTTCGGAGACGCTGGAGAAAAGGACTCTGTGTTTTTCTACTAACTCTGATTCTGTCAGAGATGATAACACAACAAGGTCGAATATACTTCTTAAAATAGGTTAGATTAAGATCAAACACCAAATGTTATTACATTGAGTTCCTGTGAACGCTGTGCTGGATTCGAATTAAAAAGAATTTGTAACATGTAGCCTAATCATTTGCAATAAATGTTAGCCTACTTTCGTAAAAGTGTTCTATTTAACACAGCTCAAAACGTGACGTTACAAAACAGAAAAAATAATTGTTCATTGGGGGGAAAAACGATTTTGTGAAATTGTAAAAATAACTTACACAGCTTGACTCTATAGAGACGAAAATGGTTAAGACATTTTCGTTAAATATTTCATTTATAAACATCACGTTTTATGCAGCTGTGCATTTTGGTGATGAACAAAATATAGGCTATAGCCTACAAAAACGAGGACGAAGTCAATCAACACTTCGTTGCGCAGGTCACCATAACGCAATCGCGCGCACTGCACAAATCTGCACTCAAACCGATGATATAAACATTAAAACCTTTTATAACGTTTATAGCTCAAATAGAATGAGCTCACAAATGAAACCTCCGCTCAGGAAAATATTAAATGTCACAGTGAGCGATTTATCGAATCTGTTCAGTCAAGAAATATGTTTTACAGAAGTAAACAAGAGAGACCTACACTTTTATCTTATAACTTACTAAACAGATGTGTTTAATACAGTCACTGCATTCAAACCAAATAGTGACCTAATAATAAATAATATTGTAATACAGTGTTTTGCATTTCATTCATTTTTCCCCTTCACTTCCAGCACAGATTATTCCCTCGTAAACGCATAAAACTGGGCGGAGCCACAAGAACCGTCAGCCCTGATTACTCACGGTGAGTAAACGTTTGATTGGACGAGTGAACAGGATTTGGGAGTTACACAGACCAATGAGATTCTTAGATTTGGGAAACGGGGTTACTGTCGTGAGGGGGCGTGGGGTGCCCTGGAGAGACCCCAGAGATAAGCGCAGTCAGAGCGCAAAAACACTCAGTTGGATATACGACGCACAGAGAACCTGCGCAACCGCTACTAATTTAACTTTGGCGCACTAAAATTGTACCGATGTACAAATTGTGTACATTGCTTTTCCATCGTGTCAAAATGATTTATTTGATTTGACTATAACTTCATCACTTGGTATGAGTTTTAGTTATAGCCGTATTACGGGCAATTAACAGCCACTCATTTTATTTATATCCTACTCTTGTTTTCTTTTTAAACGCGGTTTGTAGTCGCATCTTGTAATCAAAAACCGTGGTGATGTTACTGGATGCCGGCCACCAAATCTCTGGTTTAGGGGTTGGCACGTTCACAAGGCATCACTCGGCTGTGAGCGAGACGCAGGACAGAGATATGAGTTTCATGGAATCGGCACACATGGGCGCGTTCAAACTGAACCACCCCGATTTGTCCCCGGGCCAGAGCGCAGCTTTTGCGCCCCAAGCAACCAGCTATTCCGCGGCCGCTCTTGGAGCGCATGCGGCGGCGCACGCTGCCTCGTACGCCAGTTCCACGTTTAACTCCACCAGGGAGTTTCTCTTGCGCAGCCGAGGCTTTGGGGATTCGACTCCGGGCAGCGGACAACACCCCATATTCAGCTCCACAGCAGGGCCTCTCCATCACTCTCACCCGGAAGGTCAGGGTCACCTACTTTTCCCTGGAATCCACGAGCAGCACGGGTCCCATCACGGCTCTCCAAACATGCTAAACGGGCGCCTTGGATTACCCGGTGAGGTTTTCGGGCGAACGGAGCAGTATCACCAAGTGCCCAATGCACGGGCCGATCCTTACGGTCAATATGGCCTAAATATGGGTATGAACATGGCGCACCATCCCGGCGCATTCTACCGCTACATGCGACAACAGTGCATCAAACAAGAGCTCATTTGTAAATGGATCGACCCGGAGCTTGGTGACCCAAAAAAATGCTGCAGCAAAACTTACAGCACCATGCACGAGCTGGTCACGCATGTGTCCACGGAGCATATCGGCGGCCCAGAACAGTGTAACCACGTCTGCTTTTGGGAGGACTGTCCACGGGAGAGCAAGCCATTCAAGGCAAAATACAAACTGGTGAATCATATCCGAGTGCACACGGGAGAGAAACCATTCGCGTGCCCCTTCCCGGGATGTGGCAAGGTGTTCGCGCGCTCAGAGAATCTCAAAATACACAAACGGACACATACAGGTGATTATTTATTGAAGTTCTTTTAAACATGGCTTTTTATTGAATCGCGCAGTACTTGAGTTTAAATGGTCATTTCAGTTTCAAAGCTAGAACTTGAACCTTGTTCTTCAGTAATGCCAAACAACACTTTTTGCATACGTTTGTTACGCATTGGTGTCTCAACAATCGCAAGACTAGTTAGTTTAAGATTTGAAATCCTATAGTGATGTTTTATAATTAAAAACAGATGCTTTTGTAAGTGTGAATTGCTCTTAAATTTGAATGCGTAAATTGGTACGATTGCGCCATCACCCCTTTTGCAGCATCAGCCCACTTTTCTGAGAGAGTACTTGTAGCAGTAGCATTCATTGACTCTGTATGTAAAGTTCTAACCAGTGTGGTAAAACATACATCTAAATATAAAATATTTTGTCTTTCAGGAGAAAAACCGTTCCAGTGTGAATTCGACGGCTGTGATAGACGTTTCGCCAACAGCAGTGACCGGAAGAAGCACATGCACGTTCACACGTCTGACAAGCCATACCTGTGCAAACTGTGCGACAAGTCTTACACTCACCCCAGCTCCTTAAGGAAACACATGAAGGTGAGAATTCAAATCATCTGACAGCTATTCTCTGTTCTCCAACCCATCACCTTGCATATCATAGTTTAGTCAGAATGAACTGATTCTAAGTGTTTGATGCCTTTTGTAGATTCACGAGGTTCAAGGTCCGGTGGTCGACTCCTCTCCTGCCGGAAGCTCCGGGTACGAGTCCTCCACTCCCTCCAGTTTGATCTCTCCGTGTTCAGAAACACACAGCACCATGTCGCCGGACTCTGCCGCGCTCAACAGCAGCGGCCACGGCAGCTTAGCGTCCAATTTTAGCGAGTGGTACGTTTAAGGACTCCACCAAGAACTGCATATAAAATAAAATATTATTTGTAAATAGTAAATGAGGGTTTATGTTCTTAGCATGTCGAAGATTCAGTGTTGCACTGTGACTCAAGGAAAAGTATTATGTGACTAAAATGAATGCTGTTTTCATGTTCTTTGGTAATTTGCCAAAGACGAAGGATGGATGTATTTTTCTGACTGTATAAATGTTTTACAGTAAGGTCGTGTCAAGTTACGATGTTTGAATACAATATTCCTGTCATTAGAATATAGAGTATTTGACGTTACATGATTGTCTTACCATAAAAGTATTAACGGGGATCCTAAGTGCCGAAGTCAAATGTTGTGCGTTAAAATGGACACAATTCTGTGAATGTATATTATTGTAAGAATTATTTCCATGTATGTTACAGATATCTGGAAATCATCCACTTCGAGTAATTTTGAGAAAAGCCTCTTGTTTTTAAATTATGGTATAGCTTATACTTGATTAAAAGTACAAAATATTTATGAAAAACTCCTCGACTAAAATGTGTACAGAATTGTTACCTTTAAAGTGTTTGTACGTTGTTATTCAGTTTAAGATGTAAATTCTTGCGATAACTAATGCCAAACCGTGAAATGACGGAAAATATATAAAGACAATAAAAGGAAACAAAAAATAAAACCAAATGTCTCATTCGTTAATTTACAATTTATATGGGACCCAGACCTTTCTGATGTTTACAAAACAAGCCTATCGCAAGACATCTGGGGGGGGGCACCTGGGGTGGCCAGCCAAATTTCAGGGGGGGCCGGTGCCACCCCTGGCCACCACGTAGACACGCCCCTGGACATACACTGTCATTGTCACCATCATTTGAAGCTTTGGTTTTCTGGATGTTTACTTTCAGGAAAATGTTTCAATACAAAACAAAGAAATAAAAATAATAATGTGATGAATAATAGTACCTACTTGATAGTTCAATCTGTTCCAAATTGAAACCATTTTAATACAATAGCCTACATGCCAAATAAAATAAATAAATTGCCAAATAAATGAAAAAAAAACAAAAACATAAACCTTTAACAACTGCCACCCATTTTAGTAAAATATTTAAAATAATCTTTAATGCATAGTCATAATTTAGGGATTCGTGCAGATGCAATAGAATAGCCTTCAAGGTCACGGTTTTTCTCAGCAGCCTGTCGTCCAACTTTCAGTTGTTGTGTCCCCCCGCTTCGGTCTCGGACACATCTGAGTACATCTGATTGGTCGAGAGGGCAAACACCCCCGAACTATGTGTATTACGTCATAAGAACGCGCCGCCCTGCTCTCGGCCAGCTGGGTTAAGGCTAGAAGGTATACAGCAAAAACTACTGGGCATGCGCACATCAATATAGCGTAATTTTTCTTACACTGTACAACAATAATTACTATTTTTGCATTATTGTAAGGGGTAGATTTAGGGTTGGGGTAGGTGTAGACGTTAATAAAACACAATCTAATAGGTTGAAAAATTAATTTATAGTTAGCTTCCGGTTTTTGCTGTATCCCTTCTAGCCACAACCAGGCAGCTGCGGTTATCATGGCGGCTTACAGAAACACTCCAGGTTTTCAAAGAGTTTTGCATGCTGTTAAGGTGAGCGTTTGATGTTTTAAGCCGCTGCTTGCAGGAAAACAATTCATATAACGAATCTGCTGATTTGTCAGAATTGTGTACAAAGCATTGCTTTGTTATCGGACTAAGCGCTCTGACGTGTCTTAAAAGATCCGCAAGAATGTTCACTTGACTTGTCACGACACACGGACAGTTTGATTGATTCGGGACTGTCAAGTGTTATTTATGAAACATCACTTGCTCCTTATAAGTATATGGTGTGTCCTTCATTGTTATCGTTGAAGAAATCACGACCAGATGTCTTTATCATTGATGACTGTATGAACTCATGTCAATGTCAAAATGATTTCATGAAGTGTTTAGCTGATGCAGCTGTGCTGAACGTATTTAAAGACGTTTTGTCTGTACAGCGAATATGTATTGAATATTTCATTAAAAGATTCCTAATAGCAACAACTTTGAAAGCAATTTATATTTTTGATTGGATCAAGTTTCCACTTTTATCAATGACTCAGTCAGTCAGATTCATTGATGACTGTATGAACTCATGTCAATGTCAAAATGATTTCATGAAGTGTTTAGCTGATGCAGCTGTGCTGAACGTATTTAAAGACGTTTTGTCTGTACAGCGAATATGTATTGAATATTTCATTAAAAGATTCCTAATAGCAACAACTTTGAAAGCAATTTATATTTTTGATTGGATCAAGTTTCCACTTTTATCAATGACTCTCAGTCAGTCAGATCCTTTTTGCTGATTCAAACTGTAAGTCACAAAGCTTCTTTGTCCATTTTGAGCCGTTATAAGCCATGTTATAATAGTAGGTTTCATTCAGACATATGAATGAAACACAAATGCCATTGTTGTTCAGAAAAATATTTAGACAATTTTATTACTGACTTGATATATATATTTAAAGGAAATCTGTGTTGATGGTGGTGTCTTTCATGTTTCATTATTGTAACTGAGCACAATGCTAGTGGTCCTAAAACACTGTCACTTGTTTTGAATGAAGTTATAAACCAGAGGTACCCAAACATTTTACTATGAAGGGTCAAAAGATTAAGGGCTGTGGGCTGAAAGTAAATTCCCCATTATATCCATTTATATTATACTAAAATATAAAATGTATAATTTTTGTAATATCAAATTCACTTATATTTTCTACATTCCAATGCAAAAGATAGAGAATAAATAAAAATAAATACATAAATCCCAAAACGATTAATTAGACATGAAGAAATGCTTCATTGGGATGTTTCTCCAATGGCAAAGGTCATCAAGTGTCACCTTTGGTCTGCTGGTCCTGGTTTGGGCACCTCTGTTACAAACAGTTTCATTCAGTCAGTGGTGGTGACAGCATGGTCTCTCTGTGTTTTAGCATGTCTGTTTTAGCAAGCAGAGGTGCGGTGTTATAATCTGCCGGTACTCTACAGTATATGACCCAAATGAGAAGGTAAGTCTGATTATAAGAGTGTATGATATTCATTGATTTTTCACTTTTCTTTACTTGTGCATTCTTGTTTCCTTTCCTACATCTTAGTGCATGAACACTGTACTGTGGTTCTATGCAATTGTTGTCTGTCAGACTGTATGATAGGATCCAAGTGAGATCTTGGTTAAGAAAAAAACAAACAAAAACATAGCACTTTGTGCAGTATCAACTGTCTTTTATGTCAATTGACATATCCTTTGTGATGAATGAGGAAACCGTTGATTTCTATTCATAGATGGCATATTAGCTGTGAGTAAAGCTCTGTGAACACTCCAGAGCCACTTGACTGCATCTGCAACCTAAATGTACACTATTGGTCAAAATATTTTTGCAGTGTTTTTAAATAAAGTCTCTTTTGCGCACTATAGCTGCATTTATTTGATCAAAACTACAATAAAAACAGTAATATTGTTAAATATTATTTCATTTTCTACAGCCATTACTCCAGTATTGTGTCACATGATCCTTCAAAATCATTCTAGTACACTGATTTTTGTGCATATCATTGCTCTTTTGTTGATTTTGATTGCTTCCATTGTCCTCATTTGTAAGTCGCTTTGGATAAAAGCGTCTGCTAAATGACTAAATGTAAATGATTTGCTGTTTACGAAACATTTGTGTTGAAAAAACAGTTTTCGAAAGTCTGGGGTCAGTAAAATTAAAAAAAGAAAAAAAGAAAAGAAATTAATACTTTTCCCCCAGCAAGAATGCACTAAATTCTAATCAGAAATTGTAAAATTATAAATTATATTTAAAATAAATTCTGTTCTTTTGAATTTATCTGTTTATTAAAGGATCAGGAAAAAATGTATCAGTCTCCACAAAAATGTTGAGCAGCAAAAACTGTTTTCAACATTGATAACAAGAACCATTATTAATAATTGAGCACTGACACCAAAGATTTCTGAGGGATCACATGACACTGAAGACTGGAGCAATGGCTGCTGAAAATTCAGGAACTGTAATAAATAACATCTTAACATATATTCACACTGAAAACAGTAATAATATTTCACAATATTACTGTATTTTTTGATCATATAAATACAGCCTTGGTCAGCAGAAGAAACTTCTTTCAAAAACTTACATTATTTTGACTGGTGGTGTATAAATCTTTGTCAACAGTAATCTTTACAAGCTGATTTAGTTTATCATTAGTGTTAGATATTTCCACACAATTGTTGCCCATTAGAAAACCCTATCATATATATCTATGCTTCCTGCAACCATAGGCTGCAAACTGTTGCAGCATTTCCAATAAAAATGAATGGTTTGGTTAGTGAGAGTGATGAGTAGTCAAGATGATGGACATGTTGACGTGTCTGGAGCAGTAGAATGAGGTATCTACATATAGATATCCATAGAGGAAACAAGGAAGCCTCAGTTATTTTGACACACACCCCGTATATCAAGGTCAAGATTCTCTTTGCATACTTTCTCAGCCTCTACACTCCCAAAAGCCTGTTGCATTTATGTAGCTTTGATGTTTCATTCTCCCACAATCAGCCTTTGCCTGGAGGTGTGTGTGTGTTTGTGTGTTGTGAGATTTGGGGTGTAGCAATATGAGCAAATGGGGAAATATACTTTGAGTTTAGGAATGTGTTCTTGCATACACATGGCCCTAGGCTCATCTTGACACATGGTTTATAGGCAGACACTTCCTTCAGTTTTTCCATAAATTGTTTACACGTGGCAGACAACATTAGCAAAGCCTCATGCTTTGATCTTTAAGGCACACTAACATCTACCTTAACAGTCAGAATCATCTAGATCTCCCTCGTTTTAAACTTGTGTATGTTTATAGCACTTCATGGAATAGATAACAGTAGTTTAGTATATAAGTGGTTTTTGTATCTGTTGTACCTGATACGGTTTAATTGTGATCATCCAGTTTTATATTCAGTTCTGCACTTAGAACTTGATCTTAAAGGTCTTTATCTCTCTTCTTGTCATCTAAAAAGCAGTGTGTGTTGAACAGCTTTCACTTACAGCTAAATGAGTTGAGCTTTAGTCAGTGTTAGAGACACACACTGTGCACAAATCAAATGTGTTGACAAAACAAATGTCTTAATCGCCCTGTTCCCTTTTCCTTTCCACAGACCTTTGATAAAATCCTCATTGCAAACAGAGGCGAGATCGCCTGCAGGGTGAGTGAGTGTGCGTGTTCTTCACCAGGAACGTTCCTTTCAGTGTGTTTAAGGCAAAACATTAGATTTGTCTTAAGGCCATTTTCGTTTTAAATCAGGGTGAAGTCCTAGATGTATGATCTTTACATGAAGTTCCATAATATCTTTTACCTTCAGTACATTTTTACTACTATGAAATGAAAAACATTCATATTCATTCTTTGTTTCCATTCATAGGTGATTAAAACATGTAAGAAGATGGGCATCAAGACAGTCGCAGTTCACAGTGATGTGGACTCCAGTGCGGTGAGAGAAATGAATATTCAGATGTACCCTAAAAAAGGACAAAAACATTGAGGTTCAAAAGTCTGAAAGCACATTGATTCAAAAACGTATGACTTATGACGTTGCTAAAAAGAACATTATGTTGTGTATTTGTTTCTCCTCTATGCCCCTCCTTTCGGAAACTCGTCGTTTTTTACAAAGCTCATCGTTCTGAAAAGCGAGGTGTGCTCTGATTGGCCAGCTATCCAGTGCGTTGTGATTGGCCGAATGCCTCAAGCGTGTGACGGAAATGTTATGCCCCTTACCATGTTGTGATGCCATGTCCCAGCAGGACGGACTAATTTGTGGATTAGTGCGTACTGGAGACGCGAACCGTTTCAAACGATTCAGTTCGATTTGGTGAACTGGTTCGACCGGTTCACTAAGAAGATCCGGTTAAATAGAACGTTACAGATCTTCTTTATGCACCAAGAGCTTGTAACACTCCGAAGAGAAAGGAAAAATATTAATCACATCATATGACCCCTTTAAATCCGAAAATCATTCTCTTGTTAATTGTCACTAATTAAGACTCAAAGTCAAAAACGGTAAAGTTTTTCCCTTGCGTTTTTAAAAAGTTTCACGTATACACGACCACGTACTGCGCATGTCTACATACCTAACACGTACTACGCACACGCATGACGTCACCGTTTTCAAAGATTCCCATATTGGGTGTTTACACGGAAACGATAACGGTGGCGTTTTCAAAAACTTGCACTTTGAAACCCGTTTTCAAAAATATGAGTTTTCAGTCCCCAAAACGCTGTTGTCGTGTAAACGAACAGGCAAAACGCATAAAAAGTTCCCCGTTTTTGGCTGAAAACGTTGTCATGTAAACGGCCCCTTAAGTGTTACATTCTTTGATCCTTTCTCCCCAGGAAGCAGTTTAGAATTTCGGCCATAAGCGTTTGTGATGTAAGAGTTTAATCATTGATTGTCATTGTTTTAAACTATTCTGTTCTTATAATAAAATTAGCCTTTGGTGCTGGAATGGCATAAAAATAAAAAGCAAAAGTTTCTGACATTTCAAACATTTTCAAACATATATGTATGTGTGTGTTTACTGTATACAGTATATGTATATATAAAATATACACACACATATACACATGCCCTCATGTTGTTTCATAGCTGTATGACCTATATGTTTTGAAGAATGCTGGTAAACAAAAAATTGGTTACCATTTATCTTTCATAGAGGAAAAAAAAAGGTCAAACAGGTTTGGAATTTCATGGAAGGGTTAACAGAATTTTCAATTTTGGGTGAACTATTAATTTTTCATTTGAACTTCTTATTAAAATTGTTATGCTGTTAATATCATTTAATTAAACTTGTATTAAATTAGAAAAATACAAACTAGAAACATCTTAATTTATTTTGGCCCCACTGTATATTTTGTTCATTAAAAACTTCCACATATCAAAGAAGAGATTACTAATACAATAGCTCGTATATGCTGTACATGAAGACTTTGAAGCATTTGAAATGAGTAAATAGATTGGCTGAAGCAAGTTAGTCATCTGGAGGCAGTCTAGTACTAATATCTAAATTAGACCCCAGTACACTTTTACAAGCATTGCAAGATAAACCAAAGCTTTTGCTCCTCTCGCCTTTATCTTTCCATGGAGTGTAATCCTCTGTTGCCATGATTGATAGCTGTCACTTTTCACCCCCTCCTATTCCATATGCATGAGAGTTTGATAGAGGCAGTGTTTTAAACTCAGCTCGTCCCCCTGCTGTGTTCTGTGCTGGATTGTGGGGGGGGTCTTTTGCATTTGATTTGCAGCTTCCGAAGAGCATCTAAATGAAGATGTTTAAACAGAGCAGTGGGGGATAATCTGGACTCTGTGTGGGGGAACAAATTGACATTAGAAGTCCATATACTGACCCCAGGATTGATGTGTTGAAATATTTCACAAACACATTCCTAATGCAGAATCTTTCTTTCAACTCGACTTTTATATTGTCTAATGTCATTTTCTGAAACATCATGAAAGATAAATGAATTTAATTAGTCATTTAGCGTTTACATTAAAGTGTTCCATTAAAAAGCAAACAGGACCCACAGGCTGTCTCACATCCTCTCTAGTTAACAGGGTCGGTGCTGACAGAAAAATAAGTTTATTAGGAAACAAATGGCGGGGAGCCGTCAAGTTATGTGCTGCATTAAAAGGCTCAGACAGAATACTCATTAAACTCCGTGTCAGTGAAAACACATCTAGAGATTTGTCTGTGCGATTCAAAACCAAGTAGTGTTTATTTTAATTCATTTTATTTTATTTTAAGAAATTGTTTTGGTAAACAAAAAGAATTTACAGTCCGTTAAAAATGTCCAGTTAAATAATCACTTCTTCAGTTAGATGATCCTTAAAGTTAGAGGTTGCTGTATTTGTCTGCTTCAGTCCTTTGGGCTCATTTGAGTGTCTTGCAAACTCCTCCACCTCTGTTTGCGTCACCCTCGTTAAATGTGAGGGAAAACGACTTTGTGTCTCCCTTTTTACACACGTGTGGAAAACATTAGCAGAGAAGCAGCAGTTGGCTAGCGAGTCTTCTCCAAGCCTCCCCTGTTGATGCAGTTGTCAGTATTAATGCTTTCCCATTGTGAGGTCTGTCACTCCATCAGCTCAGTGGCTTCACACCGTGTGTGACGACTTCTTGGCCGCGCAGACAACTGACTGGCATTTACAACTGTGAAAAGAAGATAATGTTCTTTTTAGCAGCATCATATGACCCCTTTAAAATGAGAGTATTGGGTTAAAATCATGGGTACAATCATTACAACTCACTGAAAATCACTTTGTCCCCCATAAACTGTTATTAGCAGTATCGTATGTTATAAAAAAAAAAAACATTTCAACATTTTAAATGCATCTGTGTAAAAGTACTTTTTTTGCTTGCTTTCCTGAAGGTCAAACCATAAAGCATGGCACTAGAAACACCAAGATCATGGGCTCGATTTCCAGCAAACTAAATGTTAATGAAATGATAACAATGTATGCCTTCTAGGCAGTGTAAGTTTCAGTGGTTAAAAGTATTTGCCAAATGCATTAATTTAATGCCCTTAGAGGGTAGTTAAAGAAACTTGCTTAACAAAATACATATAAACATTTATAAACATTTCAGGTCTGTTCAGCTGCCATTAATAATGAAATAAGTGGGTCAAATTAACCTTTAAACATCATAATAGAATTTGTTTTTAGAAATTAAGCACATAATGCGTCAAACTAATTTTTTTTTTCCCCCAGTCTGTGCAGTTGCCATTTAATAATGAAAAAAGCAGGTCAAATTGACCCTCAAAGATCATAATTTAAATAAGTTTGTACGCACATGCCACAACACATCAGAGTGTCAACAAATTGCAGAAATGTTAATGACTCCTAAATGAAAGTCACAAAATGTAAAAAATAAATAAATAAAATGTAAATAAATCATAAGTAAACCAGTTTTTTCCCGACAGTTCAAAAAAAGAAACGTGACATAAGGATTTCAACAATTTTCCTGTGTGTTTTCATTCCCTCAGGTTCACGTGAAGGTGGCTGATGAGGCTGTGTGTGTTGGCCCTGCCCCTACAAGTAAAAGTTATCTGAACATGGATGCTATCATGAACGCCATCAAGCAGACTGGAGCTCAAGCTGTGAGTGTGTGTGTGTAAGGTAAAACACAGGGGACTTAAGAACAGTTGAAGCCTAATCCATGTTGGTGTAAACAAGGTCATATGTTATTAACATGGTGCCCTGGACAGTGTTATTATCTGTAAACTGAGTTGATGCAATGAAGCTGTTAAATGTTGCCTGTATAATTCTATGGATGCATGTAGGTAAATAATTTTTTTCTTTCTCTCTCTTATAGGTTCATCCTGGCTATGGATTCTTGTCTGAAAATAAGGAGTTTGCCAAGAGACTGGTGAGTTTGCCTTTTCCCTGAAAGAAAAAGAAATGTGGATAGTTAAAGAAAAGAAATATTTAAATGAGTTTGTGTTAGAGTTGGGGGCAGAATAGCCCCTTCACTTATTGTTCTACATTGGCCAGTGTCCCTCCCACACACACGCACACACACAGTTTTTGTAATTAACAGCTCGGACCCCCCAGTAGTAATTTAATTAAAGGTGTGAGTTCTAAGGTGAGAAGATTATTTGCAACCCAAATGAAGGCAGAAAGGCCAAAAGGGTCATTTGATAAAGAGACTCATTCCACGTTCTTTTTTTTTTGAAGGACAGTGCTGTATTTCTTAGAATTTAACCAGTTGTATAAGTCCATTTACGTGATATTGAGTGAACTTACATTACCATTCAATAGTTTGTGGTCATAAGATTTTTTTAATGTCTCTAAAAGACGTCTTCTCAGCTTACCAAGGCTGCATTTATTTGTGAAATATTACTATAATTTAAAATTGTTAAAATGTATTTCATTCCTGTGATGCAAAGCTGAGTTTTCAGCAGTCACTCCAGTGATCCTTCAGAAATCATTTTAATATGCTGATTTGCTGATCAACAAAAAATGCTTTTTGATATCATTTTTAATATCAGTATTTTTGTAGAAACAACCCTCTACGGACACCTTGGCAATTGAATCGCCATTGGCTAGTAGCGTGTGTGTGAAACAAAGCGACGGCGAGTCGTGCGCCTTCACACTAGAGTTTACGGTACGTTAAATACAGGTGCGTTGCACTGAAAAACAGCACAGATCGCTTGACGGGGAGTGAAACTCTGAAGCGCTCAGTCAGTGTGTTCGGCGAGTGAAAATATATCTGTGCTAAACTTATACTTAGCGTCCAACTCACACACTGGCGAGTGAAATCTGAGAATTTATTAGCCAGTGGCTAATATTAGACATCATTTAGTCGCCCAGAGTGAAGATTAGTCGCATATGCGAGTGATTTACTCGCAATGTAGAGGGTTGAGAAACCAAGATACATTTTTCCGTTTTATATTAATACATGATTATTTGATGAGTAGAAAGTTCAAAAGATTATTTGAAAGAAATCTTTTGTAACATTATAAATGTCTTTACTGTCACTTTTGAGCAGTTTAATGCATGCTTTCGGAGTAAAGGTATTTCTTCCAAAAAAATAATAAAAATAGTACTGATCCCAAGACTTTGAAAGTAGTGTAGGTGGTTGATATTCAATGATCCTAAAGAAATAGTTCACCCAAAAATGACCTGATAATTGTTTCCCTATAGAATAACTTTTAATGGGGACTGGAGTGTTCAGGCTTCAAAAAGGACACAAAATGCACCATGAAAGTGTTCTACACAAACTTATAACAGCTTTATACCAATCCGCTGAATTAAAACACAAATAACATTTAGACTGTGTTTCTGATTAAATAAAGCAGTAATTGATGTCATAAAATCGTGAGTATGTTTTGATTTAAAGGTCAGAAGCTATAGCTTACATGAAAAAAATAAAATCACAAACATGACACTTAAATTAAATAATTTTATATATACACTGATTTATTCATTAATGTGTAATATGTTATATTTTTAAAACAAATTATGAGCCCTAAAATATTTTTAGAATTTTTACAACTATTTTGCTTTAGACCATCTACAAATGTTAAATCTTAAAATAAAATGTTAAGGTTATTACTGCATCTTTCTAGAAAAAAAATGCAGCGATTTATTTATAGTTAAAAGAACTTCATTATTGTTTTTTTTAATTCTAACAAATAAGTTCTTGTTAAAAACTAACCAAAATTAAAAATAATTTCCTTATAATTTCCACATAGGAGAGACTTGGTGTTGTTTCCAAACAAAAGGATATATATCGGTATCGGCCAAAATGAGTTGGAAAAATATCGGCATACTGGATATCGGCAAAAATTCAATATCGAGCATCCCTAATTCATGCAATAGCTTTGTTTGAGAAACAGACCAAATTGTTTATTGATATTCTTCCCCTCCAGAGAAATGTTAAGTGCTAAGAGTCAAATCTGATTTTGTCAGTTATAATTCAGACTGGTTTTGTGAACCAAATCAACTGATTCATTAAAAAAATGCTTGACTCTAAAAGTCCGATTCGTTCAAGAATTGGCCATTGCTAAGTCTCTCGTAAACCCTCATGGAAAGCTAGGGTGGATATGGACAATTTCGGAGGGTTTCTTATTAAAAAAAAAATGTTGTATGGCTTCAGAAGACTTTCATAAATAATGCTATAAACTACTACTTTTTTTTTTTGTTAAAAGAACATACAGAATATTATTCAAAAAATGTTTATTTTGTTTGCCATGGAAGAAAGTAATACAGTTTTAAAACAATATTACAATTAACAAATGTTTAATAGAATTTCATTTTTTTGGGTGAACTATCCCTTTAACCCCTGTGCCCCAAAATAATTAAGCCAAGCTCTCCAGTACTGACAAGTGCATGTGCCAACCTCCAACTGTGCCTCAGTGTTGCCATGGCAACTAAACTCAGCAGCTACCATCTTTTTTTAACCCTTCAATCGATTCTGACTAAATAAGGACATGCTTCGTGTCACGGCAGGCCTCAAACACACACAGGGAGTTCGCATGGGGCCGTCACTCTCTTTTTTTGATCTAGATGTTTTCGCTTTTTTTAGGATTCCAGATTTCTTCTGCCAGATATCTTCTTTTTGCTTGGTTTGCTGCATTGTAGAACAGAGAAAAGATGAACAAACAGAGAATAGAGATGAGGGAAGACAACATGCCTCTCTTTCTGTCTCTTCTTTCCTTGTTACTTTTGTCCACAATAGTCAATCATGGTTATTTATTGTACAATATACACATCTCTGGTGCGTGTATCATGCGTTACGTGTCTTACTCTCTTTAGTGTAGTACGACGTGAGACTCTCCTGGCAGCTGCGCTGATGTGCTCGCTAGATCTCCTTTGATATAAATCACATTCAGGCAGGAGGGAAACACACATGGGGTGTTGTCACAGCAACGGCGGGCTCATGTTGATAGGTTGCCTAGAAGTAGTTTTAGAAAAATTTCAGCTAAAAATCTAAAATAAATGAGCTTTTTTGGTGTAGTTTTGAAGGCTTTCGGTAGAACATCATACTGGTAATCAACAGAGCCTGTTAAAAATTCATCAGCAGGTCAAAATAAGTGTTAAATATTAAGCAGTCAGGGACCGGAATCAGCTCCGCTAAACCCAGATTTGTTTATTGTTTAATGTCTCTTCAAGGTTGTCGACTGCATTGATGTAAAGGACACCTTTTGATTTGACTGTTATCCTGCAGTGAATAAGTCACAAACTACTGTTTTTTTTTTTTAATCTACATCGTATTTATGAGGAAAATCTGCCTAGCAACTAATGAATAGAAGCTGTTTTTTTTTTGAGGAATTTTGCTGCATTTTGGTTTGTAAAAAGGTTTGGTTTGTTTTTTTGTTATTTTGTTTCAAAGTTCTTTTTGTTTTGTTCTGTTTTGTTTAGTTTACTGTTTTTTTTTTTTTTTTTAGTGTTTTTTGTTTGTTTTAGAGTTCTTTGGGGTTTTTTATAATTTTTTGTCATTTCTGTCATTTTGTTTTGAAGTTGTTTTTGTTTTTTTTATTTTGTTTAATGTTTTTTTTGTGATGTTTTGTTTTTTGTTTTTGTTTTGGGGTTTTGGAGCTATGCATCTACTCCAGAAAATGCTTTCCAACTCATGTTTATTGATGTGATATGTGATGTTATAGCAGAACTCTACTATAAATGAAAATATACTTAAAGTTAAAGTGTGGAATTTCTGCATCACTAAGGCCACCAACCAATCCTTTGCTAAGTGTTGCATGGGCTGGAATGGACTGTGACTTTGCAAAATGTATTATCTGTTATTTTTCTTCAAAACAGTTAGGCAGATTTGAGGTTAATACTTCGCACAGCCAACCAAGGAGAAAAAAAGAAATTTGACTACGTCCAAATATGCATACTTCCCTACTATATAATAAACAAACAACAGTATATGAAAAGAGTAGCCTAGTATTCATAAAACATAAGGCCAAAAGCACCCAGTGACCTACTTATTTCCTGTAAGATGTAAGAAGTGCGGATCCAGTGAATAGTTGTAAATGGCAACTGATGCTGTAGGTCGCATGACAATGACACATGACGAATGTAGTATTGCCAGATTACATTCATACGACATACTTATATACTATCGAATGCATTTTTTAACAGTCAAGAAGTACTTATTCAAAAGAGGTAGTCCTATCTACTCCCTTACTTGACGGCTGATAACAGTAGTATAATGAACTAAATTGTTTATAGCTTAACTTTTATAAAGAATATCTCTTTGGGTTTGAGACTTTAGTCTTTGCAACTTTAGGGATCTTATCTATTCACGAACAGCTTGTAACACTCCAAAGAGAAAGGAAAACTTTAAATTGCATTATATGACCCCTTTAAGCATTGTTGCTATGGTACACTTTAGTTGCTATCACGTCTATTGTGGTTTGAATCAATATGTAAATGCACAGACATTGGGAAAAGGGATACCGTTTGTTGCTATGATTGCCCTGATAAAAAATGTTCTGCTAAATTCAGTTTAAAAACTATTCAAACACAAAATACTTTCATAAAATTAAATTTAAAAAGAGCAAAACTTCAGATATATATATTTATTTAAATCTTTCACTTTATTTTCTATTTCAATTTGACTGTCCATAACAGCATTGTCTCGACCAGTGTTGTGAGTTTGTAGGTTGAATACCTGTTTAACTTGAATAATGGCCAACCCAGGCTAATTGGAAATGCGTGCCTCTAAATGCAGTACCACTGCAACACCGTTATTACGTTCCTTACTGCACGTTTCAAGGCAGTTTCAAAGTGAAATGTCCAGTGAGTGGCGCTAAAACGCAGGTTCAAGACGTGACCCTGGCACATTTTTGTTACGTTGGTACAGGCACGTATTGCTGTGTTTTATTACGTTGATTCCGATACGGTACGGTGGTTCATAATTCAAATATCCCAGGAGTGTTGCTAAAAGTTAATGCTCTATCGTGTTGGAAATATCCCCTACACCAAACTCAACCCTAAACCTACCTGATAGGGTTAACAAATGCAAAACTTGTATAAAAACGGCTTTGTTGATGCAACCGTGCAATTTGAACGTTCTTATATGCAGGTTTAAACTGTTTTGTGGAACCGTAGTTTCACGGGATTCGTACCCGAGCTCTTCACCTCTCAAGTCGAACTCCATACTGCGTGAGCTATACCGAACAAACCTAATTAATATAAAAACCCATAATATGAAGCTGGATATGTGACGCTAACGTTCAAAAGTATCAGTTTTCAAATGTTGCAGCATGTTAAAATTATTTTGAATTCATAACATGATATTCCTCAGGTAGCTGTGTGAAAATTAGGCTTTATTAATCGAAACTGTGGACCTTCGAATCATACTTTGTGTGAAAGGGAATAAAAGTTGTCAGAATTGTATTGCCTCTAGTGTTTATTTCAACTGGGAACTGCAGCGATTTGTGTGTATAGGTATGTTTTTTTCAGTTTTGCAGAAATGTTTTTAGAGGCACGTATTTCCAATGAGCCTATGTTGATAATGGCAGATGGTGGAGGTGTAAAACTAGTCTGAAAAAGTTGAATCATTTGTTGTGGTTCTGTTTGCTGTTAGTGACACAGAAATTGCACACTTCACCTTTAAATATGATAAAATTTTTAAACAATGTAGCATTAATAAATTTTTAGCTAATAATAATACTACTTTCATCTCTTTTAAACATATTTTGCTGTAATTAATCCCCCTAAAATTTTACTGTGATCAAATCCCACTTAATTTCCTCCTAAATCAGTCCAGAAAAAAGTGCAAAAATCATTCCGATTGTGTGTGGGCTTACAAACAAGACAGAAGTGCCATAGAAATGCATTGCTTACAGAAAATAGTAAATGCAATGATTCACACACTTACAGAAAGTGTACAAGCAACTAATTTAAACCATATGTCAGCCTCATGTTAAGTATTAAGCTATTATAGTTTTTGTTTTAATTGCTTTTAATCTTTTGTTTTATTTTTTCCAGACATTTTTGTCCCGCTTACCCTATATTTAATTGCTTTGGATAAAAGTGTCTGCTTTATGAATAAATATAAATAGTTTGGTTCATAACATCTGTACCTGCTCAATTCTCTCTACCTTTCCATCCCCCAGTCACTCTTTTACATTCCCCTATACGCATGCGTGCACACACACACACACACACACACACACGCGCAGATGTGTGGGCCATCCACTGCCTTCTGTGTGTGTGTGTGGAAATGAAGATGTCATTACATTAGCAGTTGAATAGCAATACCCCCCACATGAATAAGAGGTGAATGAGCCCCCCATCCTGAATAGCTGCCCCCTCTGCCCAACTGTTAGTACAGTTTTACGCAGCGCAAACGATTGGCCAGAGCCCCTGGGCATGCGCAAGTTCAGCCTAGAGCGCTCTGTTAGGATTACCTCTACAGCCTCTTTAGCATGTTAAAAGAGAAGCGCTTTTCAATAACAGAGAGGAGATTGAGTTTGAGTGGAGTGTGCGTGTGTGTGTTTTCATGCCTTTTCACTCTTTGGATGTTGTCTTGAACAAGATGTTTTCATTATCCTAGTGTTCCCCCGCTCACATGCACAGTTGTACACAAGTTCTTGACACTCCTAGAAGCTCAGACTCTTTGTACTGTTGTTGTATCGGCTTGCTGGTTGTCTATCCCTTTGAATGTCCCTCATGTGCATTTTGTGCATGTGGTACTTATAAAAATGAACAGGAGGAGGAGAGAGATTGAGTGGCATCTGAATAGGCCCAAGCGTTTTATTGGATTTGATTTTCCAGAACTCTGCAGAGACACTGACAGGGGTTTGAGGGAAAGGTCTCTAGCGTGACTGGGGCCACCATAATTTGTCAGTGTATTTAAACCATGATATTGTGTCCCATTTATGTATTTTATTTCATGTGACCCCTTTAGTTTAGTTAACTTTTGTGTTTTTAGTTTTTCATTTGTTTGTTTTTTTGTGTATTTTGTTTTGTATTGGAGTTCTTTTTGCTTTTTATTTATTTCTATTCTGTTTTGTTTAGTTGTTTTTGATGTGTTTTGTAGTGTTTTATTATAATTTGTTTTATTTGTTTAGTGTTTTGTTTTCGGTGTTTGCTATGTTGGGAGGATTTATTTTGTGTTATTTTGTTTCGAAGTTCTTTTTGTTTTATTTTGTGTTTGTTTGTTTTGGAGTTATTTTTTATTTAGTTATTTTTTGTTTAGTTGACTGGTTTTTGTGTTTTTTTGTTTTGTTTTCTTTTATGCTTTTTTGGTTTGTTTTTCGTTTTGAAGTTGTTTTTGTTTTTTTGGTTTGTTTAGTGTTTTTGTGCTGTTTTTTTTTTTTGGTTTTGTTTTTGTTCTGGAGTTCTTTTCTTTGAGATATTAAAAGGTTGTTTGTTGCTGGACTCTTTTGCCACGTTTGTCTCAATCAAGCAAATACATTATTTTGTATGTTATATTACATATTATCATATTTGGCAACAAACAGATGAGAGAATTGTGAATCTTTTAATTTGTTGGGCTTGCAAACTTCTGATTCAGTGAAAAATAAACTCCCCTATAGTATTTGTCCACTTTATTAGTTTTAGTGATTTGTAATTGACTTTAATTGATTACAGAAGCTGATTTAGTTGACACCTTAGTTTGTTTCTTTTCCCAAGCACTTGTCAAGAACAAACAGATCACTTTTTTGGCCTCATTTAGATTTATCCTTTATTTCATGACACCATGGGTCCAGTTGGAGCTGAAAGAGTCATGGGGTCAAATCCCTCTTTTAATTACAGAGCTCCGTGGGTTCTGCGCGCCTCAGGCATACTATCTGTAGTATATTAGCCAGGAAGCAATAGCCTCCCGATTCTCGAGACTAACAAAGAAAAGAACAGATCTCCTTTTTCCCGTTCTTTTTTCTGGCTTCGTTATTTAGATGTATGTTTCTGCAGGCATTACCTGAAGCTACCTTTCTTTACTTCACCAAGGTTCATACCCCGGGGGTCTTTTTTTGTGTGAAGGGATTTGATTCCCCTTGGCAACAAAAGTTATGGTCGTTTACCTCTTTGAAGATGAGAGATTTAGATTTTCAAAATGCTGTGCATGGCCAGTGCTTATAGTAAATATGTTTTATATAGGTATGTTTAAAAAAAAAAAATGTCAAATGAGTTTACATGTATCTGCAGACATAATAATATATAGAGATAATTTATAAATACATTTACAGATTTACACATAAATGAGATTTATATTTGTCTACAACACTAATTTTGAGTATTTCTTCATAAATCTTTCTATTTACACTACTGTTCAAGTTTGGGGTCAAAAGTTTTCTTTTTCTTTTGCTCTCCAGGGCTCTCTATATTTATTTGATAAAAAAAACAGTAATATTGTGAAATATTATTACCATTTAAACTATATTATGTTTTCTGTGTGAATATATTGTAAAATGTCATTTATTCCTGTTATGCAAAGCTGAATTTTCAGCAGCCATTACTCCAGTCAGTGTCACATGATCCTTCAGAAATCATTCTGACATAATGATTTGCAGCTCAAGAAGCATTCATTTTAATTATCAATGTTGAAAACAGTTCTGCTACTTCATATTTTTACAGTCCAAAAGAACAGCATTTATTTGAAATGTAAATCGTCTGTAACATTATAAATGTCTTTACCCTCACATTTGATCAATATAATGCATCCTTGCTGAATAAAAGTATTCATTTATTTTAATAATAATAATAATAATAATAAATCTTACTGACCTCAAACCTTTGTACGGTACTGTAAGTTCTTTAAGATCATAAGAAACATACATCAGTCATGTGTGTCCAAACGTTTGACTGGTGCTGTGAACAAAAGTGGAGTCAGATCATGATTATACGCAGCGGTTTATCATGACCAGAAGAGTACAGCTGGATCACGTAATGTTGCAGGTGTGTTGAGGTTTGATGTGGAAATAAAACCTGTGGGTGTGTATTATGATGTACAATCAGATTATCTCTGAGTCATGCGAGTCGTTCAGCGTGACGTGACATTTTCTGATGGTTGTCTTAATAGATTTAATGCCTGTAGTCATGATTTGTAGGTAAGATCTGCTCAGAATAAATAACCTCGATGACATAAAATATACCTTATTATGAATTCCTTCTCTACAGGCGGCCGAGGGGGTGACCTTCATTGGTCCTGACACGCATGCCATCCAGGCCATGGGGGATAAGATCGAGAGCAAACTCATCGCCAAAGCTGCCAAAGTCAACACCATCCCAGGATTTGATGGGGTGGTCAAGGTCAGATCAACGTTTGGGATGTTTTCTTTCTTTCTTTCTTTTTATTTTTGTCCTCCGTCTTTTCCCATCCATTACTTCTCACATGCTGTTTATCTTTAAAAGCATTTTCACAAACACTTTTTCATTTGGCCAGCTTCATGATGGGTGCTTTATCAAAACCATTTTCTATTACTCTTCTAGCTGAGCTAAACAAACAGCATCTTGATAAAACACAGAAATACAGTACATATGTGACCCTGGACCACAAAACCAGTCATAAGGGTCAATTTCTCGAAATTGAGATTTATACATCATCTGAACGCTGCATAAATAAGCTCTCCATTGATGTGTGGTTTGTTAGGATAGGACAATATTTGGCTGAGATACAACTATTTGAAAACCTGGAATCTGAGGGTTTAAATCGGGTTTAAATCGCCTTCATGGAACATGATCTTTACTTAATATCCTAATGATTTTTGGCATAAAAGAAAAATCAATAATTTTGACCCATACAATGTATTTTTGGCTATTGCTACAAATATACCCCAGCGACTTAAGACTGGTTTTGTGCTCCAGGGTCACATATGTGGTGCAGATAATAATATACATATGTTATATAGTATATAATGTGCAGTGCATACTTTATACCGTTCAAAAATTTGTGTTTGGTAAGATTTTTGTTAATGTTCTTGAAAGAAGTCTCTGCTGCTCACCAAAACTGTATTTATTCGATCAAAAATACAATAAAAACAGTTTGTGAAATATTATTACAATTTAAAACCACTGTTTTCTATGTGAATATATTATAAAATGTGATTTATTTCTGTGATGCAAAGCTGAATTTTCAGCAGCTATTACTCCA